TTCTATTTGACATAATCGAAAGTTCAAGTTTACTTTTATAACATTGCTCTTACAGTCTGCAAAAAATAATAAGCTGCATCCAATTCGAAGATTAAGGAACAATGCAATCATCAACATTAACTGAAATAGATAATTTTAGCTTATACCATCCGTTATACATTAAACGCGCACACGAAAATGCATTCTGCACTTGCGCACACGCATCTGCGCAGTCGTAAAGGTCTTACGTGCACGCGTAAACTCCTATGCGCATGTGTCAACGCGGCGCATGCGCAGAAAGTTTTTTAGCTTTGAGGTCAGGATTATAGATCATTCCGGATTATGGGTGTCTGAATTAACGACTTTTGACTGTATTAACACACTGTAAAGATTTTAAAAATGTCCTAACAGATGGTGATTTCTCTGATCTTAACACTTTAGAGCTGGCAAAGGAAATAGACCTTGTTTCTTCACTTTTAAAAGAGCAAGAAGGTCCAGCTGACATTCTTAAATTCATTACCTCCCTTAACAATGAGCCAAATTTAAGCAATGCTTTAAGAATTTTGATGAACGCAGAGTCATAGCTAGGGTTTTTAGCGCCCAGGGGCAACTGAAGATTCCTTGCCCCCTACTGCTTGCCAAGGATGGAAAACGTTTAATTCTAAAATGTCGTAACATCGATTTGGCGCCCCTTGGATTCTGCGCCCGGGGACAGATTTTCCCCCTTGCCCCCCTCTAGCTACGCCCCTGGATGAACCTGCCCATGACTGTTGCAACTGGTGAAAGTTCTTTTTCTAAACTAAAAATAATAAAAAACTACTTAACCAAGCCTACTCAAAATCATCTGAATGGATTAGCAATACTGGCCATTGGACATGAGTTGTAATTTTGCAGAAAAAAGGTTCGAAAGATTATTTTGATTTAGGTTTCAATTCTATATATTGTACTAATATTCTTCATTCTCTGTGGTTTTAAAATTATTGTTTGTACTAGTTTTAGATCCAAAGTTTGTATGTTTTTAACAAAAAAAAATTTGCAAATACTGTACGAGTGTTATTGTCTTAATTCAATTAAATTAGGCCGTATTTTTCTCACTACAATTTTTTTCATAAGTCTGTTTTCTTTTAATTTTAAAGCTTGTGGGGGTGGCATTTTTCAGGTTTGCCTACGGCAGCAATAATGCTAGCTACGGCAGGCCCTGCCTTCATTTAAATTATTCTTGCTAATTTCTGTTCAGCAACGCAGCTCAAATTCAGAGATCAAATATCAGTAGAAGAAAGTATTCACTTGTCTCTGCAGATCCATAATATTCACAATGGTTGAATCAAGCACTATAGAATTAACGAACTATTATAATGTATACTAAAGAATAATGAAGGAACTGTTCTTAAGTATTCTTCATTATAATAGTTAAGACTGGCCACTTGTGCAGCCAGTTACATAAATAGTTATTATAAAATAAAAGTAATTTTGTGGATTCAACTGGTAATTAATAATAACTGAGAACATTGTTTATTGCTTTTAAACCACTTGTTTGTTAATCAGTAACAGAATGATTAAATTTGGAATAAAAATATTTTATGTTTTTCCAAATGGCAATATGCTGGTGCATGGAAGACAAAAATATTTATATCAGACATTTTATTATTATTAAAATATTTATATTAGACATTTATATCAGACAAAATATTTATATCATATATTAATATCAGTGACAACACATTTCTGTTAAACTGCTGAGTTTTCTGATTAAATGCAAAACATATATATCTTGCATTTTGCCGATTGGCAATACATTTCTTTTAAATCACTGAGTTTTCTGATTACACTTAAAATGAATATTTTATACTTTGCGGCGTGGCTTTTAATCAATTTTGTTAATCAGTATGACATTAAATTTGCACAATATATGCAATAAATACAAAATAAATTAAAAAAGCGGGCTTTCAGGGGCAACTTCTGTAAAGAACTGCATATGTTTAAATTTTGGGGCTCTACATGATCACCAATTTTTCTAAGACTACATCTGAAAGAGATGATATAAATTCAGATATATTAAAAATTGTAATGAAAACCTGGAAGTCTCCCAGTTTTATAAGGAGGGTTGACAGCTGTTATATGTAAACAGATGAATAAATATATAAGAGCACATCTGCACTTTTTTTAAATCTAGCACTTATATCCATTCTGCACGACATTTTTCAATATGTTTAAAGGAAATTATATATAAAAATTAAAAGAAAATCATGCACATTCTATGATGTAATATTTAATAAATAGTGGTTAGAGTAGAGAGAAGGGTATCTCTTGTATTATCGCAATGTTTTTGTTTCATTTATGATAGCCTGAGTAGTTGAATGTTATGGAAACCCTATTATGACGTAATTGGTTGCATAATTGCAGTAAATTTGTAAGAACTTGTGGTGTGTATGTTGGTTAGAAAATATATTGCTTGTTTTGTGGTTTAGAAGGTAAAATGGCTGAATGTGGTAAGATTAATTTGAAGCTTCAGTATAATTTGGAAAGAATGCGAAAAAGAGCATTACTTGATTGGTGCATAAACGAAGGTTTACTTAGTAGCCATTATTAGATGTCTGTTTGTAGAAAGGAAATGTGTATGGTCGAACGTTGCTATGGAGGATATTTTTTACTCTTATTTTGTGAATTTATGTGTCGACGCCAGTACAAGTTCTAGTTCAGATAATTTTAGGAAGTTTTTGGATGTTGTTAAGGAATTTTGTTTGACTGAAGACGTGTTAATTCGTTAATAAGGTACGTGGATATTTCCTTTGTGTAGTGCAAAGATGAATTTCCTTTTTTATGTTATTTCATTGTTTGATTTAAAATGTAGTTAACTGATTTTTTTATGGCCTTTTAAGTGACTATAGGTCAATGTGTACATAGATAAAGATAGTGCACAATGGCAAGTTTGTGCAATTTTCTGATGTTTTTTAAGTGAAAATAGGTTGATGTGTACATGGATTTTTTTGGCGCAAAAATCGCCGCTACACAAGCCAAAATAACAAGTCGAAGACTTGTACAAACTCGGCATCTATGTACCACCAAAAATTGCCAATTTTTACCAAGGGGTACCCGTAAGTATATTTTTACCATAAACAGTACTTCCTTATAGCTGCGTCCCCAAAATGTAATTGCTAATCAACTGAGGTATAACATGTAGCAATGTATAAGAACATATGATGAGATAGCTTAGTTGATTAGTGATTCAAATTTGGGGGCCACTATAAGATGGAAGTACCTAATAAACAATAAAAATCTGTAACATAGTTTGTCATTATATGCACATTCTAAGATATATAATTTAACAGGATTTTTCTCAAAGCTATTGTTTTTCAAATTCATCATTTTAGTATACAGGTGCCAAGCCTATAGTCTCTTTTGTTAAAAGCAATATAATCTAAGTACAAAATATTTGTTGTTAATGATACTGAGCATCACTGAAAAACAAAAATGTCTTCTTTGACAATTTATATATATATTTAGATCTTTCCTCCCAGTAACAAAAAATTAGATAACACGAGCCTTAACAATTTTATCAATATGTTATGAACAGCAATTTTTAAATGAATTATTTTTCATGTAAGAGTAATTATGACATTTATAAATATTAAATATTTTTAAGGAAAAGTTGATGCAGCCAATAACTTTTAATTTTCAAAATAGTTGAAATATAATTTAATAAGATGAAAGTTTCCCAAGAAATATGCATAAAAGATAAAATTATTTCTAAATAAATTTAATAACTGAATATCTCCACAAGAAAGAAAGAATATTTTTGCAAAATTATAATCTTTGTTTATAAATATACTGTCGTCTTTTTGCATAATAACACATAAACAACAATGTAACTAATTATGTAATTAACTGAGAATTTTAAATAAAGATTTAAAAAATGGTATATTATTTTGAGTGCTGATAAAATTTATTATGTACACTCTTCAAAAAGCAAAATTTAATATTTTCTATAAAATAGTATTACAAAATTGTATTAAGAATTTGTTAAATAAAACATGTAAAATTAGTATTGAATCAATGTTAATTATTATCTTAACAGTAATTTTTATAAAGGATATATATTTGCAAACTGATACATGAAAGAACTATTATAAAGCAAATAACACAGAACATAACAAGATTTAAAAAAAAATCAGATTTACAATGTTAAATGTAACTGTTCAAAATTTCCCTAGTTAAAAATCTGTTCTACATTACGGCTCTGTTAAAATGAGGAAAGTGAAAAGATAAACGATATAAATTTAAATAAATAAATGTAATCAACATTTAAAAATAAACAAATGCCTATTTTAAATCTTCATTATTAGAAAAATGTCCTACTAAATTCCTAATAAACGAAGAAAACGATGTATATTTTCCCGTAATTCTTTTAAGCATCTGTAGCAAGCAGCCGCTGACTCACTTTCTATTTCAGATTAGTGAATCGGTTTTCTCTTGTCGTTATGACTGTGTCTCGGTAAGGCAATAACTTCAGTGTAACATAAACATCCATTTAAAAACATTCCCGTAAACAGATTTTTGGAAGTTTTAATTCATTACAGCTACAAACACTGGCGGTTAACCTCTACGTCCGCTGCAAAATATGGCATACTATAATCTCAAATAATTTAGAAAACTAATTAAAAATATCATCATTTACATGATATGCTCCATTTGAGCCGGAAATATGATAGATAAAACGACCCAGCCCTAACGGATACATACAGTAATAGAAATCAGGATCACAACAACATATTGAAATCAAAAAGAAAACACTACTTACGTCATCGTGATTCTGTTTTCTGTATTCAGTGTAGAGCATATGGGATAATATCAAACAGAGCAGAACCTTTCCTGTCTATAATTCGCTATAAGCTCTCAAGATCAGAAAATCCTCATCTTTTTCACCTCAAATCTCATCGCTTTTCATTCATCTACAGACGCTTTCACAACACGAGAGGGCGCTTCGGTGTACCGGAAATTCAGGTGGAAGCATTTTTTTAATCGATGATTGTGAGTGGAAGTGGTGAGTTTTGATTACTTGACGGTGATACGTGTCAGTATTTGTGCGAATTAATGAATTAACTCTATTTGCTTTACGAACTCTTTTGAATAACTGCTTGCATATATTTGTAACTATGCCGTACTGCTCAACATGGGAAGAATTTGCAAAAGCAGCAGAAAGATTATATATAACGGACCCTATGAAAGTAAGGTTAGCTAGGTAACCAGAATGTTACATGGACATAACAATGAGTGTAGAAAGTATTCGTACAGTAAGTGTTATGATCTAAAAGTGCCTCGTTGATAAAAACTACAAATTCCACAATAATTAAATATGTATGAAGAAATATACTTTAATATTTCCATTTGAAATTTACGTAAAAATAAATGCATACGTGAAGTTGTTTACAAAACAAAAACAATCCATCATCTTGGGGTGAAAAAGGTATTCGTGCAACAAGCATAAAGTAGAAAATTTTCATAAATATATTTAAATTAATAACTTGCAGGATATTCTTTAGCGTGAGTAACGGCTTCGAGGCTCCTTGGTATTGATTTTATCAAATTTGCTGTTACTGAGCTAGATATGGACTCCCATTTTTGTTTAAGAGCAGTTATTTAGCCATTTTTATTAGAAATGTGCCTGTATCTAAAATTTTTATCAAGAGATTCCCATAAATTATCAGTGGAATTGAGGTCGGGTGACTGAGGAGGAAATTTCATAAACTTTGGCATGTTATATGATATCTAGAGCTGTTCATTTAAGGCTATATGCTTGGGGTCACTATCATGAATGAAAACATATTCACTATCCAAACTCACTTTTGTCACACTAGACAGTAAAATCCCAAACCTTACTGTTCGTAGTAAATTTCTTGGATGCATTTCTGTATTTTGTTTCCTCCACACCATTCACCTAACATCAGATCCAAAAATACTGAATTTAATTTCATCAGAAAAAATAAAGTTCTTCTAGAACTCTGGTCTTTCATTTATGTATTTTTTTGTTGAAGGATAACTGTAAATTCCAGTTGCTTTCATTCATAAAGAAATTTCGTCTTGCAGCACAGCTATGGAAACCTTGTTTTCTGCATGTACCTTGAATTATACTGCCAGATAGTGGTTTTCCCATGTTTCTCAGTTCTGCTGTAAGCTTAGGAGTATTCACTTTCAGATCTTTCTGAAATGAACATGCCAGAAATTATCTATCAATTAATGTAAGTAGATTTGGTCATTCTGAACGAGCACTATTTTCATTGTTCTAAAGGTAATAATTTTTTCGATAATCAACTAAAATTGAAATTTTACTGTCCAATTTACTTCCTTTACAAAGTCTTAATATTAATTCTGTTTCAGAAACACTTGTTTCTTTGTCTATATGACCCATATTAAAATTTTTCATTTCTTGTGACATTTAAATTTACACCCAGTCATTTTATCTATCCCACAAGATAAATGACATCAGCTATCAGTGTTAAAGTGATTAGAAAATCTGCCAAAATTGTGTATGTATGAATACTTTTTACATGCCAGTAAATCCACAATTTTTAGTTTCCCATATGTCTAAAAGCTAATTCAATGTCTTTTCACGTGTATTTGGTAAATGTGTTTTATTAGTTATTGCCTTTTGAAGAAGTTTCGATAGAATTAGTATGCCAAAATGATAGGTTCTTTTACGAAGCCACTCTTGTATGAATAATTTCTACACTTACTGTAAATGCACATATGCTCTTAATTATTTGGAGTTCCATAAATTTATATGGAAAAAAAAACTGTTTTTCATATGTTATTTTTTTAAACATATTGTAGGATCGTTCTCAGAAATTATTTGGTTTTAATAACTTAATATTTAATTTTCGGGGAAAGTACAGAATCACCTACTGTTTGGCATGTTTTTAAGAATTGCACATAACTCGCTATCCATGTACACATCAGCCTATTTTCACTTTAAAAAAAATCAGAGAATTGCACAAATTCCGCATTGCGCACTCCCTTGATTTTGTCGATGTACACATCGATATATTTTCACATAAAAAGTCAAAGGAAACTGACAAAAATCCAATTCTTCTTACACTTGTAAAAAGTGCCAAATAAGTGGGTGATTCTGCACTTCACCCTAATTTTCTTTCACTATGAAGTAAATTTTCTTATATTTAAATGCATGCAATTTCAAGTACATGTTTGCTTCTGTACACATGCATATGATGCTTATTGGGCTTTTTACTAGAATTAAATCACTAAACTTGCTTGCAGAAAAAAATTTCAAGTTTGTATGTTTCATGTCAAATCAAGAATTTTTTAAATTATTTTAGGACAGATATTTTGTTTTAATTCTTTTAATAATCTCAAATAATTCAATATTAAGATGAAAAAATCTGAATTTTAGCAAGTGTCGAACTAAAATTATTCATAATTTTGCAGATTTGAATTCTTCATCTCTAAACAATAGTATGTTTATAAATAAAATTGTGTGAATTTCTTTTAAACATAAAGGTTAATAATTTAACTTAAAAGAACACCATTAATAAACTGCTTCAGTTTTACAGTGGGTAAAAATAGTATTGGCAATTGCTTATAATTGATCATATTTCTTAATAAAGGAAATGCTGGACAATGTTAGCTGGACATAACAAACATACAAATCTAAGAAAACTTTCAATTTAATATTCCTTTCACACAAAAATGTAAATTTGCATGCCAAAAAAAGTATTGGCAAAGTTCCCTGTTAATATGACGTCTGCAGTGCTACTTCAAAAGTTTAAAAAAATTATTTTGCTAATACTGTAATAAACTGGCTTCGAAGTCGAAGGAGTTGGATGTTAATGCTAAAAACATGATTATTCAGCACAGAAATGAGGGCTTAACTAATTGTGCTATAGGATTACAACTGAATATAAGTTTATTTACTGTTAGAATTGTTGTAAAATACATTCAAAAGTCGTTAATTCGAACACCCATAATCCGGAATGATCTATAATCCGGACCTCAAAGCTAAAAACTTTCTGCGCATGTGCCATGTTGGCACATGCGCGTAAGACCTTGACTACTGCGCATATGCGTCTGCGCAAGTGCAGAATACGTTTTCACCTGCACGTTTAATGTATAACGGACGGTGTAAGCTAAAATTATCTAATTATCTATTTCAGTTAATGTTAATGATTTCGTTGTTCCTTAATCTTCGAATTGGATCTCGCTTATTATTTTTTGCAGACTGTAAGAGCAATTTTATAAAAGTAAACTTGAACTTTCGATTATGTCAAATAGAATTTTCGATGCTGGAACTTCCAAAGGATCTACAAAAACGAAAGTATGTTTCGATGTCCAAACAACAAAAAGTGGAATTGCTGCAAAAAATGGATAAAGACATGAAGAATGTGACAGAGAATGAATTATTGAAAACAAAAAAATTTCGATTCAACAAGTTAGTCGGAATTCTGGCAAAACAGCAATTACGGGACTTTGAACAGTGGAACTTTGTAACTGAACAAGAGAATTATGTCTGTTTATAGAATTAAAGAGAAAGTATTATCACATAAATTGAAGCAACTTACATTGAAGAAACTTTAATAAAGTAAACAAATAAATATTAAGCCTTTTTTTTTTTTTTTTTTTTTTGTGTGTGTGTGTGTGTGTGTGTGTAAATTTTGATACCCTTTTCTTTATTTCATAAATTATGGTTTCATATTTTTAATTTTAGAATTTCTGCATACCATCTTATGAGATTTAAACTGATGATCTATAATCCGGAATCGCCGAAGTCCAGACGAGTCCGGATTAACGACTTTTGACTGTACTTCAAAGAGATAGGATCGACGGAAAATATGATTAAAAATGGATGGCCTTGAATATTTTCTGCAAGATAAAATGGGACATTATCAAAGAAGTTAAGAAAAAGCATAAAATAAATGCACCTCAGTTAGCCAAAGATATTGGCTAATACTTTGCATAAAACTTTTAGTATACAGACTATATGGAATGTTTGACATAGAGGAAGTTATTATGAAAAGGCAGCTAGAAAGAAACCTTTATTTCAGAAATAAACAGCAAAAAGAGATTGGAATTTGCAAAATCTCGTGTTAATTTATCAGACGCATTTTGGAACACAGTTATTTTGACCAACGAATCAAAGTTTAACATTTTTGTGAATGATGGACAACAAAATGAGTGGAGAAAGCCTAAGACTAAACTTCAAAAACAAAATTTAACACCGACTGTAAAACATGTTAGAGGGATGTATTATGATATTATTAACTGATAGTATTATGACATCACATACGTACATTGGCATATTGTGCCATAACATGAAATTCAATGCCCAAAAACTTGGCTTAGGAACATCATTTGTGTTTCAATAGGACAGTGACACTAAGGATACAGTAAACTTCACCTGGCAGTAGTTGCTTTATAACGCTCCTCGTCAATTAAAGAACCGCCTTAATCGCCTGACATAAATTCAATTGAAAATTTATGGCACAAATTAGACCTGACTTCTAGGTCTAATTTATGGCACGAATTAGACGTAGAAGTCAGGAAACATAAAATTTCGTGTAAAGATGAGCTTAAGTGTATACTCCTGCAAGAATGGCACAAAATTCCTAACAGGACGTTTTCAACAACCCAGACTTTGGTTTTTCTCTGTAAGGTGGTGTGGTGTTGGTGTATTTAATTATGGCAAAGCACACTAGGGCTATCTGCCTAAGGAGAGGGATGCCTTTCGTGGAGGACTTTCTAAGGGAAACTGGCTCGTATACGCGTTACACATGGGGAAAACGCCCATGCAGCCAGCCCATTCGCAGGATTTTCTCTGTAAGGAATATATGGCAAGCTGTTATAAATGCAAAAAAGTTATGATTACAAAGTATTAAATTTTGTTAACACATTTTGCTGTATAATTTTGCCAATACATTTTTGACATGAAAGTTTGTTTTTGCTTTATATTTTATGTAAAAGGGATATTAAACGAATGTTTCATTAGATTTGTGTCTTTATTGCCTCCTTCTCATAATTCTGTAATTAAGGCAAGACTAAAAATGCCTCATTTTAAAACTAAATATCAGTATTTATTTCAGTTCCATTCCCAGCGACATTCAAAGATCAGCTGTGCATATGAGGGAGGGATAAAAAATCAAAATATGTACACAGAATACAGTCAAAAGTCGTTAATCCGGACTCGTCGGGACTTCGGCGATTCCGGATTATAGATCATCAGTT